CACATTTAAATAAAACACTTTACCGGTATAAAACGCGATTTATGTTACTTAAACTAATTTGTAACTAATATATATCTCTTTTTAAAGCGTTAAAGTGTTTTATTCAAATGTGTACTACTCGCGTAAACTCCAGACAGTATTTAAAATACAAAAAAACTTTTATCATATTTTTAATTTATTTCAAGCCAATTAAACCTCTAAAACTATTGAATTTAAACGTAATTAATTTTCTAGTAATTTTGTTCATATTTTTCATTTCGTTAATTTAATTCGTTACGTTGTACGTTGCACTGTTTGAATCATTTACCAGCTAACTCCATCACATAGGTCTCTGCATACGAACTGTACCATTGCGAGGTGTCTATTTAAAAAATCATTTAGCGCCGAACCAGTAAAATATTGAAACAATTGAAAAAGTGGTCCAAAACGATATTAATGGCGGAACGAGGCATCGCTACGATCGAGAATAGATAACTCGCTTGATTGAATTTAATTGATTATTCAATAGTCGACTGTTACGTTTTTCTTTGTCTGACTACGATCGTTCTTAACAGGGATTTTCTATCGTTAAATAGAAACGCTTCTAGAAGCTTTACGGTTGGTAAAGTTTGCTATTGGGAGCGTATTCAAAGGTTGATAAGATCCATGCTGTATTAGCTAGTATTATCATAACAAATTACACTTTTTGCTTAATTGTGAAACCTATTACTTTTGAATAAAGCAATTGGTAATATACATATTAGGTTAATAATGAACCGGTATGTTAGGTACACATTTAAATAAAACACTTTTAGCGGTTCAAAACGCGAAATATATTAGTTAACTTATTTACAATTTATTTCATCTACGGCCAGACGTCTCTGTGGGTTTGTACGACGAAACAGATGGCGCCAGCGTAGCCGATTTGACTTCGCCATTAGGTATATTCCATACACAGTTCTACCTTGACCACGGCTGTTGCAAAGAAACCGAAACGTCGGGCCGTAGCTGCAATGCATGCGATATTTATTTTACAGCCGATAACATAATAATATTTTAACGATTGAAAACAAAAAATATAGTAGTTAAAATTTTATTTTTTTAACTACGACGTATTAAAACGTTGAAGAGATTGTATTACGTTTTTATTCGCATGATTAAAAAATATTATTTACAGTATGCTATTAACTAACCATTAATATACCATAGTTCTTAAAAACTCTAATGATGTATAAAATAACAAACATGTGATCTGAAACATGTGTGTCATTTCCTCAATATAGGAGAGCCTACGTTCTATTAGGTGTTGGTTTCACAGCAAAGAAAAGCGATTTGAATGTAAACAAAATAAATTATGATAAACTAATTTTACGCAATTAAATTAAGATATACTGAAATTGGTAAATGGTTAAGCGTGTCGCATTGTGATAGCGTAAGAAATCTTCGAGATTCGAGTCCAAGGTGACAGTAATTTGTGTCAATCTCGCAGGCACAGAAATATGATCAACTTGACTGTAAATAAAATCGATCAGTAAGACGGGCATATAAATTGATAATAACGTCATCTCATGCCCACCAAAATTATTTAAATTTATTAATATTTTATATTTTGTCCTTCAGTTCTTGAAATTTTTATGTTGTCGTACTTAAAATCTTCAAGATTACATGTTGTCTAACAAAAACAGAGTTTAGTTACTAACTAATTGGTTACAGCACATTTAATTTTATATCTATGAGCACAGTTTTAATATTTTTCTATCGCGTTGTAGTCGCAAGTCGCGTCGCCTATCGCTTCCAGCGATTTCTCCATGTTTGAACCCTAATAACCGTTATATAACCGGTCGCCTAGCAAGACGTAATAATACTGGTGGTACAAGCTTGCGGAAATTAACAGCTTTTACTGAACTGGGTGTGAGAGGGTGAGGTGCGGAGACACTAGATTTATCACCAAATATGAACTATTGAAGCCCGTGCGACTCGTACGTTCAATTAGTTCCAATGTGGATAGCAATTCGTAACAGGTTCTGTAACAAGGACACAGTTATATGAAGCAAGATTGGTTTCACCCAATACAGTACTAAGTACTACCAATTGTAACTTCCTTTATATAATACGTGTCAGGAATGTATCACGTGTCTGTTTCAATAATTTTATTAAAAAAGAAGTAGACAATGAAATTTAAGTGTCCTTCAGTATTATAACTATCGATTTTCGTAGATTCGAACCAATTATATACCAATAAGAGTTCAAACTAGTGAAAACACAAAGCACCGATATTTTATTTAAAAATATATTTCTATGAAAAAAAAAATAATTGTATTTAAAAAACTTTTTCTGTGTTTAACGTTTCATTGCAAAATGTCATTAATCAACGGCAGCTCTATTAGTAATAGGATGTCGGTTCAAGTCTCGCCCGTGTAATTTTTTTTAAATCTAACTCTGCTTTAATTTAATATCATAGCAAATGCATAAAATTTACTGTCATAGAATAAAACAAGACAAGAAGAAAGTACAGACAAGAATGCAATTTACTAGATGAAAAGTGAAACACAGCCTAAAAAATATCTAATTAAGATGAGATTATAAGGGACTATATTATAGGCTTTAAACATTCGGAAGCCATTAAACCGAGATATAGACTTTAAAACTCCTCTATGTATGGTGGTTCGTGATGTAGATTGAGTTGTGGGATTCTTACCAGCTGCTTAATGTCCAAATTTACATATATTGATTTACATTTTGGACGATCATAGTTGAATCCAGGACTTAGCCGAGCACACCTTTTTTTACGATAGAGAAAGACAACTTGATTTTAGGTGAAGTACCTTAGCCATTTAACATTTAAACAAATTGCGCTGTCTACCTATTTTGGCTTTGGATAATCCACAGACTAAAACGCAATTAAACTGAAGAACCACCGTCTGCGATGGAAAAGCCGTGTTCCATACAGACAACGTCCAACATGTTTTAGAGAAAATAATAAATTTATTACAAAAATATGACACGGTGGGAAATAAACTCACGACCCGTTGATTATTAGCCATACGTTGCTACCGTTACACCAACGAGCGCGTCGTAATAACGATTATACATCATAATTTAAAAATCGAATATAGACTGAAAAAAAAATTCGACTCGGGCAGGACTTGAACCGGCATCGTCAGCTTTCCGTGCTGTTGCTCTACCAATTGAGGTACCGAGTCCTCGATCCTCATCTCAACGTCGAATTTTTTCAACTTATTGATACTTGCACCTCTCGCGCAATGTTCAAGTCCTGCCCGAGTCGAAAAAAATTTTTTCAATTTAATTTTCGATTTTTAAATTATATAGTGCCTTCATGTGCAATAACATGTGAAAAATATTAATGTTTTCAAAGATTATACATCATGTTTATGGTTAATCTAGTAGTTGCAAGTGTAAGCTTAAGCAAATTCCGCAAAAAATTGATTTTTATTTAGAGTTTGTTTGAATGAGCTTATCGAAGCACAGACGAGTAAGCTAATGCAACATTCATGTAATCCGTGACTAGCACTTTAGGGCTTCGCTTTGTACATCGTTTTAATATTGATAAATTAAGCTGTAACTGAATTTGGATGCCGTAGTTTATTCACGATAGCGGAAGTGGTATTTCGACTGAAATTCATCATTGTCACTTTTGTGCAGATTGGATGTATATTCTCTTTTCGTTTCAATCAAATGATGGCCCACTGAAGATGTCTCTTCATGAGGAGGCTATTAAAACAATCACGGACGGGACGACTACTTTTCCTACATCTACATTTCAAAATGGTATAAGAAAAAAAATAAAACAATTACAATATTATTTAGCTCGACCCAGCTTCAAATCTTGGACCGATAGACTAACGAGACAGACTTTATATAAACTTATATACTAACACAGCTATTAATACTTAGTACTTTTAAAATATTATAATTTAAAAGACAGCGATATTAAAGAATATGTTAAAAAATTGTGTTTATATATATATACCGTTAATTATATAGTTGTATTTATGAAGTAGACATACTATAATGATTTGTCTTTTAAACGCTTCTTAATAAAATAAATTGTGCTTAAATCATATATAATAAGATACTAAAGTTGTAAAGTTATTGACTGTCAAAGTTACAAGATACTGTCAAAGTTAAAAATTATTTTTGTTGAATTTAAGAGAATTCTTTAGTTTTACAAATATGTTAAGCGTCCATAAGACCTAGCGCGCACTAGTGACTTTCGTCACAGTGACTAAAGTTTTTGTCATCGTCACGTCATGTTTCCAAAGTGGAGTGCGCGCACGAGAAGCGACAATGACAAAACATTTTCGAAATCGGAAGGGTCATTTGCCACTATGGATTTCAGAAAGTTAGTTTTTACACTAAGTTTTTTTTAAGTAAAACTCTGTATCGGTTAAAAACACGATATATATTAGTAAAGCTTATTTGAAACGTCGGGCCCTAGTTTTAACTAATATATATCGCGTTTTAAATCGTTAAAGTGTTTTATTTAAATGCATACTACTAGTTGTTGTTGTTTGGACCGCCTCCGCCAATAGTTATCATAATTTGTTATTACTCAAAAACTAGTGAGAATAATTTCTCTGAAAATGCTCGGCTTCCGGAATAGAGGGTGTTCTAAAATATGGCGGGATAACACGTCCTCTAAACATCAGAGCATAATACAAACAAAGTTTTCCAGTTACAGTGAAATTTTGCGCATAGTTTGATTTATCGACACCTTTCCTGAACTGACCTAGATGCGAACGTTTGGTTCCAAGAAATCATAGTTACTCAGAGACAGCTATTTTATCAGCTGGCTTAATTAAAACAGTTCAGAATGGATATTTTGGTTGATGCCAAAATTATTCGTTATCAATTGAAATCACACAACACAGATTATAGTCAAACACATTGGTCCGGTTTCCTTAACTTTTAGTTCCATAATCTGGTGTATTTCGACTGGACCTCTGTAGTCTAGGCACTTGATGGGGCTGACACCTGAGGCATGAGCCAAGAACATGGGTTTACGGCGCCAGATACTCGCCCTTTGCCACACTTTTGCTACTGCACCGCCAGAAGAAATCTTGGTGGCACTCGCTTAAGGTCGAAGGGTGCATCATTGTCAAGGGGGCTCGACGGGGACGAAGACTGTTAGGACTGGCCGATGTTACCCCTTCCACCGGGTGTAGTAAAGGCATTTCAAGGCTTTTTCTTAGGACTTGCTCCCCAGAGAGCAAGAAGCAGTTCCAAAAGGCCCTGCATCAGCATTGACTGATTAATTATATATATTAATAAGTCTATAATAATCATCTGTGCCCCGATCGACCGAAATAATTTATTGTCACGACGTGCTCAACACAAAAATACTTTTAAATATTTTTATATGGCAATATTTAGTACATAGGAGCTTGTGTAATTGTAGTTGTAATGTAGGTTCGAGTCTCGCCCATATGAAAGATTTTTAATACAAATTAAATAATAAACTTTCAACCGTTTAAAACGCAAAATATTTGGTTAATTTATGTACAATTTTATAGTTTAATCATTACAAGTGCTTAAATTTTATGTGTATTACACGTATGCGTACTAAATTTAACGTGCATATAAATTCCAGAGTAAAATATATCTTGTTAGTGTTACGAAAACATATCGATGAATATATGTTTTTTTGTTAGTAAATACCGAAATCGCTTAACAAATCTTAATGGAATTTGCTGTTAGCAGCGCGTTATAATATCATATCAAATTTATACGTTTCGGTATTATTTATCCCAAAAATGCATCGTACCAAGCAATAATTTAAACAGTTTTAATATTTGCTAATGGTGTAATTGTGTCCCACAAACATTTTATACTCCATTTACTCCAAATTTTAAGTTATATCATGAATGACTATAAAGGAACTAAAGATGGAACAGATAATAAGATTTTGCAAAAAAACCGTAATTTCAGTAAATACTAGGAATTTCAGATGTATAAAATACAGATGCACATTTTTATTTCAGAATGTGTAATAATTAAATTTTATTTCAGTAAAAACGAATTTGGAAATCGCATAATTTTTTTTATATTGTATTTTGTTGTTAGGCCACTCTGTCTTTAGCAGCCTGATACTATATTGCTTGTCAAGTGACCATAGGTATGCGAGATTTAGGTAGTTTTAATCGCGACGTCAAGTCGACGTCAAAGTTGGCCATCTCTCGGAAACACTTGAAACTCGTAAAACGACGATTCGTTTCGTCAATGAAAATGCATTTCGAATTCAGAATAGCCATAAAGTTTTCGAAATTTACGATTCAGATGAACGTGCGCGAAAGTTTCCATCTAAATTAGATTAAATTAGATCCCGCAATAAAACGTGTCTAGTTTATATGGCAGTTTGTTATTTGAGATATTATTGTTGTCGGTCGAGAGTTCAAGCGAGGTCTTCTAAAGATTTATGTATGTGTTCACAGTTCTTTCCAATAATGCCCAACCCCAATTTTGTAATTTTGATTTGCTTAAATTTTCAAAAAAGTTTAACTTAAATATATCGCGTTTTAAACTGTTAAATTGAGTGTTTAAAACACAAGATTCATTGTACTATATTTAAGATGCATGCGTAAAATATATTTCATTCATGTATCGTTGATAATCAACGAGTCGTGGGTTCAGCCCCGAATCCAACATATTTCTAATCGATTTGTAATTTTTCTGAAACGTGTGGTGGAAATATTGAAAATTCTTGCCGGGCTCGATGAAACAGATGAAAAAGGAGTCAAATTAGTAGATTTCGAAACAACCCAACCAAAAATAGGTCGTACCTTGTATACCTGAAGTATTACACGTGTCATCAAGCCAACAAAATGCTAATCTGTCGACATCTATTACAACAACAAAAAACATAAAAACGGCGTACGTTAGCCGCTTTTGATTCAACCGCTCCCACAATAGGTTTGAATCCCACTGAAACATTACAATTTCAGTTAGTTAGATTACGTAGCTCTCAGACTAGTGTACTCTAAATACTGTCTATAGTTTAGACGGAACAGATGGTGCTAGCGTAGCAATTTTTCACTTTGACGTCAGAGACATCCTCCATCTTTAGTCTCCCCGTGACCACGGCTGCTGCAAAGCATCCGAAACGTCGGGCCGAAGTGAAAAATCATTTTCAAATAAGTTTAACTAGTATATCGCGTTTTAAACCGTTAAAGTGTTTTATTTAAACTAATGTACTCTGTTTAACCTCATGACTCTAATAATTTCGATCATTAAATCTGATAAGTATATAATCTCAGGCTCCATATATTTATACCTTATCTATACTAATATATAAAACTGAAGAGTTTGTTGGTTTGTTTGAACCCGCTAATCAAAGACACAGCGGGAAATGTGGAAAAAAGGAGGAAAATGTCTTTGGGGTCTTTCGATGCGTAAGGTGCGCCAACGATTCAAGATACCCGAAAAATATGTATGAAAGAATGATTGATCTAAAAATGTCCGCGACAGTATATCCTTTAAGATTAACTTGCATGGAGGGCGGGAAGCGACGAAACGGGGAACGTCGTCGGTAACTTCAATAGTAAAGCTTCAATTTATAAAGATGAAGCAAAAAAAATTGATGCCTAAAATAACTATTCTATGCGGACAATATCGCTGACACAGCAAAAAAATACAGAATTTATTTAAAAAAATCAAAATTAAATCAGTAGCGAAAATCTAAAAAGCCGCTACTATTTCACTAAGAACTTACCTTTTATCAAAGTGAGTGCTCAATTCATTTTTAACTTAAAAAATGCAACTACAACAGCTGTAAGTCTTTTAAAAATATCACGTAATAATTCAATAGCCCGAAGCGTGGGCCGCTCAAAGGAATTTCCGTCTAAGGCTGTTTGTAAAAGAATACAGTTTTCTTTGACAGCGGTTTGTCTCATCAATTTTAAGAGGGCCTTTGTATGCGGCAGTTCGCTAAGTACATTATGTAAATGTAACACTGAAGGCTGTACCGGACGATCCGAACCCAACACACCCATGTTATTAGCTGGAGAACTTACCGACGAAAATTCTTATTTTCATGTAGAAAATATTACAATCGTATTTTGTTTTATATCGCCTATTTTCATCCGTTACTTTTGGGGATATATCGCCACCGTGGCTCAAAGGTGAAATAAATAGTTTCAGTTCAAGAACGTAACTCTTGTCCGTAAATAATTATCATTGATAGAATGAAAAATATTCTATGTCCCATGTCCAATAAAGATTTACACTTCTAGTTACTACTATTTTTAAATACTAACAGTGTAACTATAGACGACCTATTAAGTAAATTTTAAATAACGTATGTTATGTATTGTAAGTTATATAAATTTCAAAGAAGGTATTGAGTCACATCTATTAATTTAGGCATAAAACAGACGCATAAGTGTGTCTGTCTTCATTAACCGATGTCATTTAAAGAAGTTGTTGATCAAACTTCTCATCTATAATCAATACTATTGAGGAAAATACTTCATTCTAGAGAAAGCTTGCAAGAGAAGTTTTAATTTAGTGCTTAGTCTGGGCCAGGATTAAAACTTGCAAGCATGACTTGAATTTATGAATTCCCATATCCTGGTCAATTGTGCTTACCGGCTCATAACATTTATATTTTCTTAATTAATTGAATAGAAATAGAACTACAGATTCTTTTGCTACTTACTGGTCCATGGTGGTTGGAACCTCCCAACGTATGTTTTAATTGAAATTGTCTTGCATATGATGTCATTATATAAATTAAAAATCGATTATAAATTGAAAAAAAAAAAATAATTCAAACGTCTATCTTAGTTATTTCATTTTCAATGATTAAATAGGCAAATTTTAAGATTGAAATTACATTACGCCTTCATTGACGTAATGTAATTTCAATCATGACGTGGAAGACACAGTAGCTTAATTGTTTAGGTCATGGAACGCTGACGATGCCGGTTCAAGTTCTGCCCGTGTCGTATTTTTTAAAATTTATAATCCATGCATTTCCAATATCTAATTGAAACATTCCCGTCTATAAACTGTCTGAAAAGTTATACATGGCGACAACATAAGTTTTCAGTCAGAGCCCCCGCTGTAAGTCGTTTTAAATTAAAATCCCGTCTTTCATCCCCATGCTTGGAGATTTGCTTTTGAAAAACTTTCTATTTCAAAAGAAAGAAATCTTGGTGGAACCGGAACTCATATTAAAACCTTTTTGAACTGCTGCACAAGCAGTGAAAAGGACATTCAAGCTGAGACTTATATATTTAGTAGAATTTCCTCTTATAAACACCTCCGTGTACTGCTCATGCATTCAAATATCATTGCTATAATAATAATAGCAATTCTCAAGAAATTAATTTTCTCAGTAAACTCTTGTATGAAGCAAATAGTTCCTTTATAGAGTTAGTATAATGCTATAGCCGTGCAACCAAATAAAGTGCTGATAATAGAATGTTAATTTAGCACACATCTTTACCAACTTTAGAGGACGATAAAATATGGTAAAAAAAATATAATAATAGTAAACACGAAGTCACGAAGCATCAGTAACTATAATTACTTATGTGCGTGGTTTTTATTTTGATTGTGTAAATATTTAAATTATTGAGTCAAACTTAAGAACATTCTTAGTATTGTATAAACTTATTTTAGCTCTGTTACCCTTATTATCAATTTTTATTGTAAATTTCATCTTCAATGTTGCCTGGAAGAAATCGCTTTTTAGCGATAGGGCTTTTCTCTCGACATTTTTAGATATTTCTCTTAATTAAATCTTATTTTGTAATATTAGCTTGTGGTGACAATAAAGTTTATTTATTTTACTTTTATTCTTTCGAAGAGACACTATCAAGCCCTAAGCTATAATAGCTGTATGTTCTACTCTGTACAAGGCTTTAGACAGTAGATTGAGATTAAACTGGCCTATGTTCTTAAGGGTATTAATGGATGAACTGATCAACAAACAGGACAAACATATGAGATATCTACTTTGGAATACCTCCTTTAAAAACAGAGTGGTTTTTCTTTACATATCTGTGTCTAGGTGTTTTTTCAATGCTAAGAGTTTTACGCTGTGTAACATTAATAATCAATTTGTTGATACTGCAAAATATATTGAAGTAGTAAGAAATATACTTCTAATTTCAGGACAATAACAAGTTTTAATTCTTTCTAACAAACTGTTTACAGTTACTACACAAAATAGATTTTACATTGAACGAAATATTTTCAATTTTAATTTTTTCACATAAACACTATCTTTGCTTTTTTTAAACTATAAAAAAATCCAGAGCCGAACAATAACAAATTAATGTTATTCTTCAATTTAAAATCTATTTAGATTAAAAAAAAACACAAAATACAATACAAGGGCGGGACTGGAACCTGCATCCACAGGGTTCCTTGCTGCTCTCAATTAAGCGTTATTTTCGCCAGCTTATATTAGCAACAAATATGCATACAATTTGAAGTCGAGTACTAGGCACACTATTGCGCAACATGTGTCAAATTTCACTCTACTAAGATCTTATACTAGGCGAAAAATTCGTGTGTCGGGTCTGTGTATACAGTTAAGGGAATTAACTGACGAATCAACCAAAACAAACGATAGTGAGCAATGTGCTAGCGTAAACAATAAACAAGAGAAATTAGTCCACAAACTAGCGGAGTTCGACAAATATCCGACTATCTTGCGGTCACAACAGACAACTCGAAACTTTGAGATTGCTGACACCTCTGCTTCGAATATGCTGATGTCTACACTAATCATAATATAAGCCGATAGGACATTAGGTGTTAGTGCGTTGTGACACTTAAAGTTCAAAATACAAGTATTTAAATAAAACACTTTAACAGTTTAAAACGCCTATATTAATTAAACTTATTTTATAAATATTTTATCTACGGCCCGACGTTTCGGATGCAGCAGCCGTGCTTTGTTTAAATGTTTACTACTCGGGAAACAAACAGTATTGAAAATACACGTAATATTGTCGGTTTTTTTAGCCTTAAGTAAGTCTTAGACTAGAGGAGACTTAATCGACCATAGACTACGATTTTCTAATTTTGTTGAATTGCATAAAGGTACACACTAAATATTTAGTTGCCCTGTTAAAAAAATAATGCTTAATAGTTATAACCAAGAATATACATATTTTAAGAGTTAATAGTAAAATCTATCGACAAATTTGACTTTAAAGGATATCTGTAATTTTCTTTACGTAGTATAATGCTACTTATTATATTTTTAGTGAACGTTTAAGTAATAAAACCAAACCTAAAGAAAAAAAAAACTCCTTACTTAAAAAAACAAACATTGACAAATAAACGTATGTAAAACTAACTCGTTTCTCTAAAATACAACAGTTCAAAATTGCTTTAGAGCGCAATTGGGAATAAAAACATACAAACATAGATAATTAAAAACTAAGAAACTTTGTAGGCACCATAAAATACGCTGAAAAATATAAATGACGTGAAAAATTTACAGGAAGAGAAAATGTTTACACAGGAAGTCCAGTCTTGTAATTAGTTAGCTGTTTACTTTGGCTCCATTGACGAACTGAAAATTGGTCTTGCAGTTTACATAGGCATAACGCAGCTTCATTATATTTGTACTTTGCTGTATGCTACGAGAATTAGCCTTAGGAGATAGTGCAACTAATTTCCGGTCGCAAGGTCGGGAGTTCGATGGCGTACCAAAAATATTTTTGTACATTCTGATATGTGTCAAAATTTCGACAGATACTTACATGTGAGAGCTGGTAAAGTATTACAATTCCACTAGCAGACCTGGTTTTCTTGCTATATTAAGTATTTCAACCGAATTTGATTACCACGAAAACAAAGTATTAAGCTTCATATATTAGAATAGATATTAAAATTAGAGTAAGAGCCAGCATAACGTTGTTGGCTGTTAACGCGTTACGTAACGATGCAGCTTACCCTTTCATACAAAAATATCACCAATTTTTTTTATATAATATTGTGTTTTATGGTTTATATATTATTTTGAAATCCTTAACATTTAAACATTTTATTATATTATGAGAAGTTATAAACGTTTATGCCACACTATTAAAGCAAATTGTTATACCCAACTATGCCCACAGTGTTCTATAATTTCTGACTGACCCTGACCTTTTTGGAAAATTATAACTAACATACTAACACAGTGGATCTGTGAATATCTGAATTAAATGGTTATTGTTGTCTTTAATTTATATATGTAGGTATTAACATAACTGATAATTAATAATTCCTAATTTTTAATTATATTAACTACATATGTATGCAAATAAAAGTTATAACTAAAATTAAAATATTTTATAGCGGTTAGTTGAATTTTCGAATGCTTTATACCATAGTCACAATTACGTTTTCAACCTATTGAAAGCGTTTTATTTAATACTAGCTGTGCCCGCGACTTCGTTCACGTGGAAAAGTAACTTTGGGTAGTAAGTAAGTTTTAATTATTTAGGCTGTTTATTTATTTATTTTACAAATTAAATAAGACATATGTATACACAATAAGATACAATGTTTCACTGCAAAGAGCTTATTAAGGTATTCATAATAAGTATATCCATGATATAGTGTGTTTTTATATGCTTATTTATAGTTAATTTCACATTGTCAAATTATTAAGTTCTATAAAAATTAATTACGATACATCCACATAACTTTTCATACCCCTTAGCTGTATCGTAATTGTTACTTTGCCGCAGCACTCCCACTCTCACCTCACGTCACTCCCACTCTCACATCCACTCTCACTCCCATTCCGAAAAAGTTAAAGAAGAAAGTTTCATTGTTCTAAACTTTCATCCCCCTTTTCAACCCTTAACATACCTTTATTGGCATTAAAAAGTATACACCGACGTCCTTTCTTAAGCTCTACAATATCTGTGTACCAAATTTCATTGAAATCGATTCAGTAGTTTCAGCGTGAAAGCCGGACAGACAGACAGTAACTCTTACTTTCGCATTTATAATATCAGTAGTGACTTACTGAGATTTAAAACTAACTCCAGTAACAAGATGATCTCTTTGAGTACCTAAATTTATGGTACATACACACAATAGCATTTACCAATAAGATTATAAATATTATGGACACATGAAACATATAGCCACTTGACAAATCGAAGCCGTAAATCTCGTGAACGACGCAGAGCTCACCGTTATAAACGGTTTGTCCAAAAACAAATTCCGTTACGCAAAATGACACTGATCGAATCGATTGAATGTGTTCAGTTGCAGGGCCTAACAATTTTAGGGCTCCATGCGATTCATGTGACCTGACATGAGTTATTTTATGATGTAATGTCAGTTTATCTTGTACCGCCTCTGTAGGCATATAGTTAAACGTGGCATTATGTTAAGCACGGGAGGTCATGCATTCGAATCGTGTGGTAAGAATAAAAATGTTTTCGCACTTTCATAGGGAACAGAAGTCTGTTCAACTACATGCCTGAAAATGAACCGATTATCGATTATAAAAACAAAAAACAAACAAAACAAAAAATACTTTATTTTCACCACAATGTTACAAAATAAACTTAATTAAAATTTTACAAAAAGTAGCGAGAAAAGGCGGCCTTATCGCTAAAAAGCGATTTCTTCCAGGCAACCTTGAAAATGGAGATTTACAATAATACATGATAATAATAAGGGTAACACTACAGCTATAA